AAGTGGAAAGAGAGAAGGTGTTCAGTGGGCGATTACAACTCCGCAAGTAGTCCACTCCAATTTATTTGAATGTCTGTGACTCAGCAGAGGAGATTAATGGATTGACACCAGAGCTGATCTGTCATAAGTGACAGTTCCATTAATTAAATCTGAGGACTCAGCACTGTAAGCTGAGCTCCGGTAGCTCCGTAGCTGGGGTGCTGGTCAGCTGCTCAGTGCCCACTGAATGGTGAACCGGCCCCAGGTCTCCTCGGCCTCTTGGCAGCTGGGCTTCCCCCTCAGTCAGCACGACTTCATATCCCTTCTGCACTGTTGGGTTTTGGCCTCTAGTTAGGGCAGCAGCTGAGAAATGGAAGATGATAGAGAGAAAATGATCCCAATACAAGGAAGTAAGTGAAGGATTCTGGGGAAAAATAATGGTTCCAGACACTCTAGGCCAACCTACTGATACTGCAGTGCCATGATGCCAGATGTGCATGAGCCTCAGTCCCTCTCCCCAGCTCCTGGGCAGGGCTGTTGAGAGCAGATTATGTAGCCCCACAGTGAGAGGAGAGACGCTATTAAAGGCTCATGTGGAGAGCTGCAGGCACAAACAGGCTTCCTGAGGAGGAGAAGCAGCAGCAGGGCAGAGGAAACCAGAACCAGCTCACAGCAGCTTCCCTTGGTTCTGTGATTCCAGTATACCACCAGAGCTCTGTCACGAGCAGGCCTACCCTGGGCAGCACTCCTCCTTCCCTCCCCTCCATCCGGGAAGCTTGTGCTGGGGTCACTCTGGGATGTGTACTCTTGCTTTCACTGGTTGCCTCCAGGGCACCGTTATTATTTGAGGGCTGGACCAAACTTATTCCTGTATCAGTGCTGCTTGTTGCCTCATTGCTTGAGATCTGTATCCCCGGATAATGCTGCCTCAGCTCCTCCACCTGCCTTTCCCTTCAACAACTGCTGTCATCCTCTGGTTAGCAAACTGTGTGCAGTGATGTTTTTAAGGCACATAGCGTCTGGTTAAAGAACTTGCCACATCCTTCTAACCTGGATATAAGGAGAAACCTCTCCCGCGTGGGACAGGCATATTTCTCAAGTGCCGCTCAGGCTCCTTAAAATCCATGGTGTTTTTAATGATCAGTCTGGATAAAACACAGAGCAACACGGTCCAACCTCAGAGCTGTGCCACCTTTGCTCAGGAGGATGGACTAGAAACCTCCTGAGATACTTCCAGCCTGAATTATCCTACAGAGCTGGCACATCCACTTAAAGCAAAACATTCCACTCAAGCTGTGAATGAAATTCACCTAATACCTCCTGAAATCCTTAAATCCTAGTAAAAAGATGTAACCTATCTGCAAGTGTGCCCTTCCAAGACTCTTCTCTGCTGCCTTGTGGCCAATTAATCTGGAGTAGCCTTCTCATTTATGGCCCTGTGGTTCAAAGCACCATTCTCCTTGGTTTCCTCAAGTACAAGATTCTGCTTTTCCTCACTGAGATCTGCAAGGGCTCAAAGGTAATAACAGCTTTTCTCTAGGTGCCCGTTTCTCATCCACCACAGGAAGGAAATTCAGGGATCAGCCAACACTGCTCAGGCAGATGTGCATCTTTTCTGCCAGCACTGAAAGAAAGAACCAGATGTCGCTTCCATGATTCCGGTGCTCAGACATTCCCTCATGGCTCACATCTGGATAACCTCTTGTTGCCTTTGGACTTACAAGGGGAGAAATGGGTGCAATGTTAATGTATGCCCCAGGGTAAAGGTTATTTTTGGTTCCCAGCAGATCAAGAAAAAGCCCTCCTGCAGAGTGGAAGGAACACATCCCTTGCATTGTTAGGGTCGTGCTCCTAACGGGAGGTGTTGTCTCAGTAAATCTAGCGCCCTGGGACTCAACAAGAGCTGACAACACCCTCAGTATCAGGAGGCGGTTTGTTGTGAACCACCATTATCAGAATACGTTCCAGCCCAGTGCCCAAAGAGGCAGTTTTCAGAAACGCAGAGGGCAGCCCACAAGCATGGCCTTTCTTGCGCACAGCTGGCCCAGGCAATTCGGCTATTTCGGCCCCCTAGCGCTCTCAGTTTAGCCTTCGGTAATGTGGCCAAGCTGCTCAGAGAGTCTTTGTGAATGAGAGCATCTCTAAACCTTCTCTGGAACATTGGTTGGCTGCCTGCCACAGGGACTGCTTCTTCTAAGAAAAACAAAACTCCTACAAGCCCCAAATTTTACAAGCCCAGTTATACAAAAAAGTAGGTGGAGTTCTCTACAGTGGTGGAACACTATGGTAGTTTTTAGCCAAGTGACATTTGCAATAGAGGCACCAACCTTGAGAGCAGAGTATATACGGCCAGCACATAATGAAGAGCCAACTCCAGCTGTTTTTTCCTAATTAAATCTCAAAAATGGGAAATGTTGGATGATCTAATCAAGCCCCTTCACATCATTTGCTACGAGATAGAATATCATTCACAGTTGTTATTTTTTCTCCAGACATGTCTAGCAGAAGGGCTTTTCTCCATCCTTCTCTTATCTGAGCTGCTGTTCTTTTCCATTGCTCAGTGCGAGGCACAACTGGCACCTGTGCAGCAGTTACTGCTGGCTGCTATTGCACACCGCAGGGTACTCACTCATCTCCATCCCTGCTTCTGGGAAACTTGAACAGCTTGTCTAGCATTGAACAAAACTGCTGAACTGTCTCCTGTAATGCTCTATTATTCTCCTCTGCCGTAACACACTGCTTCTGATTTTTGCCTTGCCAGTTTGCATGTGTATGTAGGCACTCCCTGGAGTCTGAAAGGGATGGGGACCACAGAGAGTCAGGAGGAATGCCTGCAGCTTGTGTGGGCTCTGTGTTCCCTGTTTTCGAGCAGCAGGGCTGTGACAATGCAGATACTTCCCATTGGAGCCTTGCAGACACTGCACATGGACACTCCATTTCTGCGGCGCGTTGGCTGGCAGTAATGATAGGGCTCTGCTCACTGGTTTAGTTACACACTGGTAACCTGTCTGCTTTTTGTGCTTTATTTATCAGGTATTAATTGCAGCTCCCACTCATCACCTCCTGCCCAAATCGCTGCATTGTCTGCGCTGCCATCAGACGTTCCCTTATTTCTGCTTCTGTTGTCAGCATCAGAAAACTCAATTACCCGCGAGCACGCATGCATACCCAAACACACAGTAGTAGGCTTGTGCTGATGTTTTTAAAGATACACATCTGCTGATACTAAAAATAGGTCCTTGTCAGCAGCTTGGTAATTTTAGGCTCAATGAGAATTCATCCCCATGGTAACTGTACAGTTGTTGAATCATTTATTATTTGAGCTTCCAAATCACAACAGTGCCGGCAGTTTTCATCCTCTGAAGGACCCTTTGCATTATTACAGCACTCCCTGCTTCACACCGGCGATATTTATCGAGCAGACTGCCCTCCCACCACCCACATCTCCCTGCTGCAGGAAGGTGGGATACAGACAGCAGCCTCTACAGAACTGCTTGGATGCAACTTGAGAGTGCAGCCCTGTGCCTTGTTCTTTGTCTCAGTGACTATAAGAGGATAGCACGAGTTGCAAGAAGTTTTGCAGATAAACGGGTGGCAGTTTTAACCATGTAGATAGATGTGTTTGGCTTCCAACTGTGGGGGCACACTGCCTGGCTCCTTCGTGATAAAAGCTGTTTGCACTTTCTCCCACTTGCAGATAACGCCCATTGGCCAACAGGTGCCAAAGCAAGCAGAAGCTGCCCGTTTGCCTGCCAAAGCACAGGGCCACACGCGGATGCCTGAGCCCAGGGGCTGTCACAGGTCTCTGTGCTCTGCAGAACGTGGCAGGCAGCCCTCAGTGCTAGAGATCCAGCAGCAGGAGCTCCTCCATCCCAAATGGGTGCATTGCCATCACAGTCAGGTATTATAATTCATCTATCAGCTCCCTGTTACTGGATTTTTCCATCTATTTAGAACTGTATTTTTCATCTGAGATTTTGGCTAGTAAAAATACCTCATCCGCAATTCATGTTATCATAGTGGCAAGGGTCTTCTAACCAAGACAAGCTGCCAAGCACTGAGGTGTGCTAGAAATGTTGTTACCTCATAGCTTTGTGCTCACTTATGATCATTTATAGGAACCATTTATCCCATGTAGCATCCTTTCCTTCTTTCTCTTGTAAGCTGATTCATGTGTAATGAGACTTTTCCACAAATAAAGAATATGAGGCCCTGAGCACAGGCTACCCAGAGAAGCTGTGGCTGCCCCAGCACTGGAGGCATTCTAGGCCAGGTTGGATGGACCCTGAGCAGCCTGAGCTGGTGGTCTATTTAGGCTCACATATCTGTAAGAGCTTTGCTTCCAATTGCAAGAAGAGATATCACTTGAGAGTGTGCCACACTTCTATCTGCCCACCCATCACTGGAAGCATTACTGGAGTTACCTGTGGACTGATCCAAAGTCCTCGTGTTATCATCAGGGTGACAGCACAGCATCATGTCACCAGCTGGTTTTATTTCAAAGCTGTCTGGGTCTTTTCAGGCTATCTTAGCTGTCTGTGCTCCTGTGACCAGGACACATTACTAACACCCCAGGCCTTTTTCTGCAGAGCTGCTGGGCAGCCCCTGCATGTGCTGGTGTCTGGGGTTGTACCTCCCCAGCTGCAGGCCTTTGTACCTCTTCTTGATGAATACCCACAAGGTTTCAAGTAGGAGGGAACTGTCACAGTGGTAAAAAACCTCTGTTGGTTCCCTCTGCCCAATGGGGCCTTTGGACACTCACAGCTGTGCCCAGGACCAGAGCCAAGTGTGGTGGCAGAGCGCTGGCTGGAAAGAAGGGACTTCCACATGGGACACCAAGAGATGCATAGGGACACACTCTGTAGGTAGAGGTGTGATAATCAGTGTGATAAACTTGGAAAAAAGAAAAAAAAAACAACACAACAGTTTGGATTTCCAGACCACTTTTTGGATGCAATAATTCAGCATCTCAGCCTTCTCACAGGCAGGCACAGCTGGAGTATGGTTTATTGATGTTCCAGAGGGCTACAGAGGGCTGTTGCATCTTGCCTAGCCAGGCTGACATGCACAGCCCAGACAGCACAGAAATAAATGACATTCAATTTGGTTGATATTTAATTACTTTAATAATACATTTGACTGGCAGTTAATCACTTTTTCCCCACGTGACCCTGATGTTTCTTTACATTTTACTGATTCCCAGTCCAGACCTTTTGAGCAGGTTTGCACTGACTCTGCAGCTGCTTTGCAATCCAGCACCTCACCATCACCGACCAACATCACAAACCAGAGGTGAAAAAAGCCAGAAGGAAGCTTGAACCACACTGAATGCTCCCAGCTCCTTTGGTGGGAGCTGAGTCCACTCTGGGCACAGTGATGCAGGGACGTCAGGCAGCAGACCAGATGCAGCTTTTATTAGAGAGTACTAATTACATGCTTACAGACTTGGGGTATTTGTGTGCAAGTTGTATTAATCAATGCATATTTACTTTCAGCTTGCAGTCTCTGAAAAGAAGAAAAACTGACATCCACAGTCCAAAATAAAACTGAAACACTTCAAGTATTCAGTAGCTTAGAAACGGTCTGATTTTGGTGGCTCAACCTGCATTGTAGGAAATGTGAGATAAGAAACTTCACTGTTATCAAAAGTGGCCAAAAAGGCACCAATAACAGAGCCTCCTTATCAGAGGGAAGACTGTTAGGCAGCCCCCTGGAAAAGCACTATCTGCTTTTTCAAAAAAGTGAGCATTTCCCACGTGCAGTGGCAGATCCCATTAGAGCCAGTGGGATGTTTCTAGGCCCCCAGAGCAGCATGGCACTGCCAGCACACCCCAAGGAGCAGCCACAGTCCTGCATGGCTGCTGGAGCAAGGGCTTACAGGGGAGACTGCCCTCCTTCCATCACTCCTTGTGCAAAAGTGCCACTAGAAGAATAAAACATTAGGTGGGAGTTTTAGGAACTCCTCTACACTCAAAAAAAAAAAATTCCAACTCTAAATGAAAGGAATTTTTAGTAGGAAAAAAACTTGTGATGGAATTCTCTTATTTTTTAACATTGTATTAAAACAAGGAAAAGATTGTACTGTTCCTGGTCAAACAGCATTGTATCGTGTCAGGCAGACTGATACCTCAATCATGGAAAGCAGCATTAGACAAAACCCCATTTAAGCAACTCTTAACAGTAAGCTCCTGCGAAAACCTAAAGGAAGTGCATAAATATTCAGACATCAGACTCAGTGTAAAGCATCCCAGAAGAAAATTTAAATCTAGATTGCTGAGATGGTAGCATGGTTCTATTTTGTTGGTGTTTTTAGGGGGAAGATATCTCACAAGAAAGAGGAGAGGAGGAAATAGGGGAAGAAAATGAAGGTGGAAATGTTAATTTTTAAAGAGAGATACAGCCTAATTTCCACCATCACTCACCTTGTCTGGAAGGCTTTCTCTGCTTTGCCACCCTCTTTGTTCCCCTTGTACTTTTGTACTAAGCAAGGCACTGCTATGCATTTGGCCATCCCATAACCATTTGCTGCTTCAGAGGAACATAAGATGACCCTGCCCAAATAGCTTTACAGGTAGCCACAGAAACAAGCAAGAACCCTAGAACTCCACCTCTCTATCTGTACAAGGTGGAGCAGAGGGGCACAGCCCACCCCAGCACCCACACAGGCACCACAGAACACAACAGCATCTCTTGCCCCCAGCTGCATAGCAGAAGAAAGAACCCAGGTGAAGCTCAACATCTGCAGCAGACCCCACTTCTCCATACCCATAACAGTGTAATGAAGATGTAAATAAACCATGCTCCCTTAAAACAGGCTGGGTGCTGGGCCTCACACCAGGTCCCAATTCCTTCTCTTAAACAGAAGATGAAAGACCAAGCATGCATACAGAGACTTCTTTTGCACAGAACTATCAGACAAACATGTACAAGGCAACACTTCGATAAAAATATCAAATACAAAATTAGTTCTTAAAAAAACATTTCAAGAAGTTTGATATGTGTGCAAGATTAATTTTAAAAGCTCTTTTATATTCCAAAGGATCTATTGCTAGAGTTTGTAAGTCCAGGCTAAACTATTTCGATGTTAAGAGCAGCTTAATACTTTATTTATTCAACAAGAAACCTGGAGGAACTGTGCGAGTTCAACATCTGTGCTCCCAGTGAGGGGCCTGGTGATCTGATGACAATGTGTGTACCTATGAAAATTGTGCACTAACTTAAAGACTTAGAAGCCCATACGATGATTTCCAAATTTCTGATGACTTTTCTTGAGCACAAATGGTTTGAGCAGTAGCAACCAGGGAAAATAATCAGGATCTCCACTCTAGACTTGCTGCAGTTCTTTGAGCCACCAGAAAGGTTGGAGGAATCTGCACAAGAGAGTGCTGCATGTCACCAAAGCCCATGATCGAAAGCAAAGAATTTCTCACTTTGGTTTTCACATTAAATTCATAGGATTTAAATGACTCCTGCCACATTCCTTGAAAACCAAGAAGTTGTGGAAAATTAAATGCAATGTTACCACCAACCCCAAAGCGGCAATGCCATCATCCTCCCTCAAACTCAGCAACCTGGACTGGGTGAAAACTGCCTGAAATATGAACCCTTTTCCCAACAGGTAGAGCTTTCCAGATCCAGATCCGGAACAAAGAGCAAGGTGTGGATAGGATGCAGTGCACCATTGTGTTGATGCTAGTAAGCATCCAACTGTGGTCTCAAGCTATGGTAGGGATGTTGTATGATGAGGTCAATCTTTATCAACCCAGCCAAAAACCAGCTTTTTGACTAAGGACAGCCACTTTTGTCCTCAGATATGTTTCACTGTACTCTGCAGGGATCCAAATAGCTGATAGCTGCAGGTGAAGAAGTTGTCCAGAAGTAGATTATGCTTGGGGCTGAAATTGCCCTTGTGTCAGAGGACACTCTGAAAAAGAAGGGCTTTTTTTGTTGTTATTTTTCAAGGAACAGGTGACGAGAGTAAAGAAAATTGCTTAAAAAGACCTTTTCATGTCTGACTAGGATTTTTAAAAAACTAGGTATTACAGAAGGATTTTTGTAAGTATACCTCCACATGCTCCTTTAAGACTGCTGCACAACAAAGCACACAGTGCAGCCATCAATATGCTGCTTTTTCAGTTCTACTTGTGTTTTCCTCCACAAATGCTTTCTGGGTGATTTCACCCTTTGACTGCTCGTATACAGAGGATCAAGTAAACCAAGCTTGAAAGACTGAAATGGTCTCGTCAAGAAGCTCACAAAAGCAAGAAAGTAGCTGCCAGTTATAAAAACACCATCTACTCCATTGCTGCAATTTTACAGCAGTGGAGCTTAAATTTCAAGAATTAGAACTAGATTTTGCAGTTATCTAAGCAAAGTGGCTCCTTCTGTCTAATCAACACTACATCCTGCTTCTAAAAGCTTCAGTGCACTGCTAGCAGAGTAACATCCCCACACCTCAGTGCTGTCTCTGAAGAGCTTTCTTGAGGCTCTCAGCCTCAACACCCTTGGAGCCCTAGGTAGCACACAAAGCAGCAACCCACAAAACACTGGAATAGTCAGAATCCTTTCAGAGGTGGCTTCAACGTAGCCAAGGTCTTAGAAATCACTTGCCATCCTAGACCTAGCAGAGAACAACAATATTCCCAGAACAGCAAATGAAAAGTGATGTTGAGTATGGTGTCTATCTGGAGCAAGAGCTTATGATACCCCCAGACTTGCCTCCTGGGGTTTGTTATCCTTACCTTCTCTAAGGAAGTCTAACTGCTGGGACCTTTAAATGCAAATCCATTCCTTGGACACTCTCCTGGCCGGATCACCTGTGCGTACAAGTCCATCCTCTGCTGCATGCTACAAACACAAGTTAAGACAGAAGCAATCAGAAGCCAAACTAGTGCAGTAGGGAGCTAGCAGCTGGCTGTGCTACTTCAACCTTTATTAAAGCTCTGGGCAGATAAAGTTCAGGCTATGTAGTTAGACATTTGTGATGTGTCTATCACCATGGTATCACGAGCCATTCAGCAATAGAATCTACATTGAGATAAGTAGCCTCCCTAACAGCTCAGCACATGGGTGCACACAGTATCCTTTTCAAGGCAACTGTGCAGACTCCAGCAGCCACAACCAACTGGTCCTTGGCTTCAGACACAAACACACCTCCTGCACCATCAAAGCCAAGAAACTCTACAGGTCTCTAAGGGACAAGTTAACACATTTGCTATTAGGTGGGTCTATCACATACCATGATTATATTGAGAAGTGTCATGACTTCTACATATTATTGAAAACTGAATTAAAAGAAAGAAACAAAACCATGAAAAACCTTCATACTTTTTTGCTTAAGGCCACCTTGACTATTTTCTTATCTCCTTTGCTCGTCTTCGAGCACCTCCCATTTTCAGAAGTATTTCCACTTGGATTGAAATCACCTCTACTTTTGTTCTCCAAACCCAGGGCTCTAAAAACAGCATGGGAAAAGTCTCTGTTAGGGACTGCCTGTCCTTCATTTGCTTACATCTGTGACAAATCCTTTGCTACTGACTAGCTTTAGCCTAAAGGCTGCTTTCCCAAGAGGCTTTCTCAAGCAGGAAAGACAGGGGAGTAGAAAGGAGTCCTATACTATCTTATCCTCTCCAGTTCTTCTGCACCTTCAGTAGGTACATCTTTAGGCAAATACGTTCTCGCTGCTTTCTGCCTTCCTTAGTTCCCAGTGCTCACAAATTCCTTAGTCATCTTCAGTCTGTGCTGAAGTAGACAGCTCAGTCCCAGCAGATGACAACAAGCAGCTCCAGCACACAAGAGATGCTCCTGGACACAGCATGCATATGGTCATGGTTTCTCCTCAGATCAAGGTCTTCAAGAGGTATCACAAAGTAAACATAACTGAGGACTCGCACAAATTCTTCAACAGTTAATAACTAACCACATCTAAGCAGGAGAGCTGGTTTTCCATAGGAGCAGTTTACAATGCTCGTTTACTCCCACAGGATTGTGTTCCTGGGTACCTTCATCAACAATTCTTCACTGAGGGCTCCAGTAGGTAGCAGAGATGGACTCATGCCAATAGGGGACAGTCACCTACATCACTTTGGAGCTTTTTGTCAGAAAAACAGCCATAGGGAGTTAAGATTTTATGTAAGGATGCTACTCTCCAGCGTAAGTTTATTACAAAGCAATATCTGATGCTAATGGTTCCTTGTAAGCCTTTTCCATAGTATTATTAACTCTGCTAATTTCCAGTAAAATGCTATCATAGTCCATGTATATGTATATACAACTTCTCAAACACAAGATTCAGTGGTCACCTTATGGTATTAAAGGATTGAAAGTAAGTCTGCCCAACAGTGCTCAATCCAATGCTTTGGACTTCACTGCCACAACATGCTGTACATGATCCAAAATTTTAGATGCTGTTAAGCAGCAATGAGACAAACCTGTGTCAGATGCACCCATCCATTGTTGGGAAGGAAGCTCCAGGACAGTGCTCTCCACCAGCTGCCTGCCAAATGCATCCAATGGAAGAACATTCCACAGCTGCTGGCAATGCTGACTTTGCACCAAGACTCTAGAGCACTTGCTAATTCACAACACCAGCTTGGAGACAAACAGCTTCTGTGACAGATTAGGCTAAAGGCAGTACCTGCACTGAGGTTCTAGTACAAGATAGCATCAGAACTGCTTTTTGCCATTTCAGCATTTCCTCAAACTGAAGGGTGTCAACCTTCAGGAGGAAGAGCAGAGGAATACCTAGAATGGTGCTCACTCAAGGCAGAAAGGCAGCAGATAGAGGATGCTGTCAATTGCATCCAAGACCAGTAAGCAGCTGTTCTAAGCTATCGTGGTCTGATAATGATATGACAAGGGGGAATGGTTTTAAACTAGAAGAGGGGAGATTTAGATCAGATGTCATGGAAATTTTTCACTCAGAGGGCAATGAGGCACGAGTACAGCTTCCCAGAGCTATGGATGCCCCATTCCTGGAGGCACTCAAAGCCATGTTGGATGGGGCTCTGGGCAGCCTGAACTGGTGGGGGGCAGCCCTGCACATAGCAGGGTGCTGGAACTGGATGGTCTTTAATCTCCTTTGCAATCCAATTCTGTAATTCTTCAGTGAAACAAAGCCCAAAAGCAAGTACTGATATGTTTTATAAAGGGCCAGAGAAGATTTCTACAGCCATGCTTAATATCACTGTATTATGATACAGTGCAAGATCTCAACTCTTTTCACATCAATATAAATCCTGAAATCAAATATGGTATGAAGCGTTTCCCAGTACAGCTTTTTTTCCATATGAGTTGATCTTTCTGCTTGGGTCTAATTGACAACCAGATTGGATTTTTTCCAAATCAATATTTCTGAGACTGTAATACTCTCCAAAGACTCTCGAAATAAAACACAATTAAGCTTTAGAAATCAGTTCTGGGTGCAAGAACAAGTTCTCACATGTTGATGCTGGCATTCAGACAGCATTTATTTGCCTCAAGGGATCCTGAACATTCATCACTAAAATGTTATGAAGAAACTTTGAGGATCACTGCCTCTTCTGTTTGATTTCCTATCTCTCCCCTCCCCGCCCTGGTGCATTTGCTTAATAGATAATGATATCCAGAAAGAAGCCCTGATTTATATTGAAAGTAGGTGAGAGCTGGGAGCTGTCAGTGTGTGTAACCAAGCAGATTTCCAGACCTCTGCCAACTATTTGGCAGGTCAGTTGATAGAAACATAGACGTGCCAGACTATTTGCACTTAGGAGCAGGTACATGCATAGACACAATCTGCAGGTTTCAGTTCATTCCTTGTAGATTTCTCCCTGTTTTTTCTGCAGCTTTGTTCTCTGTAGCCCTGAAAAAGGGTTCAGATTGTTGTGTATTAACTATTTTCTGCTCTGTGACAACAGATATTGAAGATATCCATACATCAGGCTACTGATTGACAGCTTACATTAATTTCCATGCTGTAGGCCAGGGCCTGTATTGCAGGTAAGTCTTACAACACAACCCTCACTGTGCTGCACAGAGAAACACTGCTAGATAAAGCTTGACAAAGACATGAAAAGAGAGTGGGCAGGAAAGAGCAACCTGTAGGACCTGTCTACTGGTGTTACACACTTTCGCCAACTTCAGTTTTAATGAAGTATGCAAGCAGCAAACAGAAAACCAAAAATTATAACAGATCATCCCAACACCCTACAACAAGGGGATATTTTTCAACAAGGATTCCCCAACAGGGATTTTCAGCTACTTGGGCTGGCACAGATCGTGACTATCACACATGCATACAACAACTTGCAGCATAATACTTGTGGCACTTATTACTGGAAAACAGCCCCAAAGCAGGAGAAAACAAAACTTCCACGTACAGCTTTTTAAGAGATGATTCACACAGAGTTTGAGAGGGTGCAACTAGTCCGTTTTGTGGTGTCATTACCAGAGCTGGCACTTTGTTCTCAAAAATCTAACAAGACACACTAAAAACCAAAAGCATTTACATAACCACAACAATTCTTTTCTAAGGCTGAAATGTTTATGCATTTTTAAAGAAAGAAAGGCTTATAACTTGACAAATACCAAAGTACGAGTGCTAAATCATGAGGTCATCTGTTAATCAAATAGAAACATTTCAATCTCTATGATTGTCCTTTAAACAGACAAATATCACATGCTGTTCTCACAGGCTTTTTTTTTTTTTTTTTTTTAAAAAGCTTTCAATACTAAGGAGTTGTATACCAAGACAAACACCTCCACCTCTAGAGACACCAAAAGCTCCTTAGGCAGAGATGCTATCCCTGCACTTAAGCAGATAACCCGCTGCAGCTCAACACACCTAACCAGCCTGCCACGTCCCATCCACGCAAGGCAGCAGTGTGACAACAGGCAGCGATGGAACAGTGCCAGATGTGCTGGTTGCCACAAAACTACAACAGCTTGCCCTAAGCAGTGTTGGGAACCACAGCCCAATGCTCCAGTAGAAGGCTACTGCTGAGTAAAGAGAAGCATCCAGCAACATCTGTGTTCTCTGAGTTACCTGAAATCGCATTGTCATCACCAGTGAAGTTTAAAAGAAAGAAAGAAAACACAGCCACCTACATGGATGATGCAGGTACCTTAAGGCACAAGGGAAAAAAGTCACCTCTCACAACAAGGAACATTTTGTAAATGTGCAAAAGAACAAACCTTCCTCAAATTGGTCTCCTCACTTAGCTTGCACAAATGTTTCAGTATAAACTAATCACCCCAATAATCTGAATGTTTTACCAGATATCAAAGAATGAGTCAGAAGATGACAGTAAGAACTGCTGACTAAACATCAGCACATTCAGTATATTCCACGAACAAAAGGAACTCACATCTTTAAGAACAACCATGTTGGTATAAGTTGATCTCTGATACTGCTACCAGCAGCAACTTGTTTTAAGTATTATGAATTTTGAGGGCTTTTTTTGTTTGTTTGGGTGTTGTTTCTAAAGATAATTTTACTCTCTTGGAAGGAAGATAACCATTGATCATGGCATTATGATTCTGCTGCCTTTCAGACCTTGAGACTGTTTGACTGAGATCTATGAGTGAGAACATAATGATAGACTGTGGAGGCACACAACAAAATTAGCATTCAGATTAAAAAAAACAGTCCATAGCAAGAGAACGTGGAGGTAGACTACCATATAACTTTGGATTTCCTCATACAGGAAGTACCAGAATCATGCCTCTCTACCTCATACAAAGGCACCAATTTAAATCACTGCAATGGACAGAGCTGTACATATATGGGGTTAAGATGCTATTTCCCTGTTATTTAACTTAGCTTGGCTGGATACAATCATATTTTCATTGTAAGAGTTCATTGTGCTCAAAAGCAGAAACAATCTCTTCTTCAAACAAATAGTACTTCAAAGATGCTAGTGAATTAAGCTCACCTTCCCAGCTTAGTTCAATAGCACACATTTACCATAGGACACCAAGCATAAGAACATCCTTCCAGTTACTTCAAGTTCAAAAGACTTCCTGAGACAGATATCATTTCTGTGTTCACCTACCCTTCAGTTTATTTCATTTGCTTGAACCCACACCAGTTTTCAGCCTCCAGAACATTTTTTGGCTATAAGTCTCACAAGCATACTACTCACTGAACATTAACTGCCTCACTCTTCAACTATTCTTTTTATTTTTAAGCAATAAACTGTGTTCCTACAATTAAGCATTTTGATGGCAACTTGAGAATTTAAAGGCTCTGCTTAGGTCAGATCAAAATGGCATCAGAACTGAGTAAATACAGTAAGGCTTAAGCTTGTTTCAAAGCTATAGGGTTTATAGCTTTAACTTTCAATTTTCTGTATGGTAAGGTTTACACAGCACTTGCTAACAGTTGCCAAGTAATTCAGCCATTCATAAATTCCTACATACTAGCACACCTGTTTGTCCAGGATTAGGCAAAGGAAGAAACCCATCCCTCCCATGAACCCCTCAGAAGCTTGGGAGTAGGTAGCAATAGAGACCACCAATTTGCTGTCAGAACATGCTGCTAGATAAAATTACAAACTGAACCGAGATATCAAAGATTGACAGAGCCAGAATAACTTGCTCTCCCTCCTTTTCATTAGTAGTTCACCAAAGCTATCTTACTAGCATAGAAAGCATCCATTTCTTTATGTTATCGTGTTTCATCGCTAAAGTTAAAAGAATATTAAGGATGGTCTGAGAGTTTCGGTAGTTTCCAATACATAGAAAAACCAAAACAATCCTTCCCCAACCCCAGCTCTGCTGATTAGCACGTAGGGAAAGGAACTGGCTGTTATAAAGCCATCTGACCTTGCAAAACACAGGCTGTAGAACCTTTTGGCAGCAAGTCAGAGAAACTTCCCTTATTGCTATAAATATTCACTAGGTAGATTTATGAACCATTGTCTGATCATTAGGCACCAGCTCTGTATTGCCTTTCCATGTACATGCATTTAAATGCACCGTTTACTACAGAAGATACTCCACGCTTTGCTGCTGCACGTGTTTAACTTCTTTTGAATTAAACTTCAGAACCAGAAAAATCCACTTACAAGTTCCAATTGCTATGTGAAAGGGAGCTGATTACTTACTGCACCTTTTATAAAGTATGAGAATGTGCATTAAAAAAAAAAAAAAAGTTTATTTATCTAGCAAGATACTGGCTACAAGGGATCACTGCTACTACTAGAGTCATACACAAGTTGTCTGTATATCAGATATTTACTCTGGACAGAAAAAATGATTTCCAGATCACAAACAGATGTATGAAATGAAAAACATCCAAGTTCGCTCCAGAAATCTTTTCATTTGAGAGAATAATAAAAAAAGAGACAGGTACTTACAATCTTCATAAGAATTACTATATAGTTTCCAAAGAATTTTATAGCACCATCAGTTAGTTAAGGATATAATAAGGATATTTTCACTTGGGATTGATCAGGCTGTAACCAACATAACCAACTGCCCAAGCAGCCAGCAATAGGACTCATGTGGGGCCCTACTCAGTGTGAGGTCTCTGTAGGGCTTGGTGCTAAGTCTGTAGTAGCTGTTCTATAGTCACCATAAGAAACACAATATGCTAAAGTCATACCAAGCCACTGTTTGACATACAGAGCTATTATATTGAGAAACATGTTTTATATTGCCAGTGCAAGGTTTGGAATTTTATTTTTCTTGATCTTACATTAAAGAGGCTGAGTTTGGTAACAAGTCATAACCATAGGACAGGACAGTCAAGAAGGCATTATAAAAATAATGCATAAGTGCAGAAAACACTTTAATGAAAAATCAAGCAGTTCACAGACAATCTGGTTTAGCTTAAAGTAGTAAGAAAACTTTGTTTATCTTACAGGTGCTACAAAGCCTGCACTGGTCAACAACTTCATAAGTAATTATTTGGACCCTCTTCCAGAGATAAGAAAACTCTTCTCAGAACCTGATAGAAAACTCGGTGTTCTTTATCAGGTTCTCTGACAGATGAGGAGTGTTTTATAGCTTATGGGAACATGGCTCTTTTCAGGGCCTCATGACTGCAGAGAATAAGCGTCACCAAGAGTCTCCAAGAGTCTTTGTTCTGCAGAAAGCATTAACATCTCCAGAAGAGCCAAAAGCCCTTTGTGTGAGGTGTTCCTGAGGTCAGGAATGTATGCTTCAAGGCACATATGCCTCACATACGCATTCAATACACATATACTTCAAAGCAATACTTTCATCAATAAGTAAACAAGAGAATTTTCACAATGAAGGTCAATTGTACTTTATTACAAAAACAAAGAGGCAGCAAAAGTTATAAGGGCAGATCCCTATCCACCCCTTCTGAAAAGGGGCCAAGGGTTTCTTTATGGACACGAGAAGATATAGTGCACACATCAGCTCCCAGAGAGGGCATAACAACGCAAACAAATTGAAGAGGCACGTCAAAAAAATTCCCACTGTAACCACGCGACTTATGTTTTAAAAATACTCTAAATACTCTAAAACTTGGGAAAGCCCTAGGCATCCTGTGTTGTTTCCCTGAACAAGGTACTGAATAAGCTGATCTGGGTAGCACAAGCCTTTAGCATGACAGACAGTGTTCTTTCGAGAGAGTTTTGTGCATTTGCTGCAAAAAGACTTCTTTGTTCCTGTTTGATTCCTCCTCTGCTTTACCTGGGGTAGTACGCCGTGTAGTTCATGAAGAGCTGAGCCCCAGCAGGGTAGTATGCTGTGGAGGGCTGGAACGTCCGCGGGTTCAGGAGTACAGATGGCTGATATAGAGCTGCTTCTGTTGGCACGACTGCAGAAGGAGCCGGAAAGGAGTAAGAAGGGGGTGAAAGGCCTAAAGCAGACAAACGGAGAACAGATTAAGACCTTTCATATTCCAGCATACGTATGACCTTCATTACTGAGCAACTCTGCACAAAGTGAAGAGTTTTCACAAGTTCCTCATTTTCCTGCTCATCACAGAAAATAAATCTGGGGTGCTGACTCCAAGATCAAGGTATGTACTTCCAACCCCTGGTCAAAAGCAAAGTAAGACACAAAAAAAGCCATCTCCTCATCTCTTGTTCTGGGAGTTGAGTTTCTTTATGAGAAGGAAAGTAGTTTTTCCTTGTTTAGGCTCAGATTTTAGCATAGTCTCCAGCCAAGTGAGACAATTCTCCACTGTAAGAAAACTGCAATGCCTGAAATCTGCCTAACACTCCCACTGCAGGGGACATCATTTCATCCTGATACTCCCTATCCCCCAAACAGCTCTGTCTTTAACAACAGTAGAGTGGGAAAAGCCATGGCTTCGCAGTTTCTCACATTAATATTCAGTTTAAAAATAAAAATGAACAGAAAAAGCAACTGCACTTTGTTTCAGCAGGACCTCGCAGTCAAGAGTTCACTCTCCCCCTTCTTTTCTTCTTCCCTTTCCCTCCCCTTTTTCCAGTACCATAACAGTGAAATTTGGACAGCCCTGAATAACAGAAGTTTATTTTAAAGCAACAATCAGCATCTCACTGCACTGTGGGATGGGGGAAAAAAACAAAAAGAAAAAATAATCAATTGCATTGTAATTAGAAATGGGAGCACTGCCATCTAAGAGCTCCCAAACTTTGGGATTCCTGTTCAATAAGCCATTCCGTGAGCTTTCAGGAGAAGCTTCCAATTCCTGTCCAGAATATCTGTCACATATAGGGCTGCATACTGCAGATCCCTTCTTGGATACTCACGTTATAAGAAATGCTAGTAGACTGTAAATCTCAACTCCTAAGGATTAGCTGAAGGTCTATTCACAGCTCAAGACAAACCACACCCAGGAAGTTCACTAAGATTAGCTGCTCTGACTATCCAGGGTTAGAGGATGTTTCTTAGAAAAGGCACAATCATCAGTAATACTTCTGCATAGAAGGAGAGAAAGAGAAAGCTTCTACCCAACTGCCTTGTCATTTAGTATCTTGGAAGCAACGTATTATTTCTCCCATAGGCTCAGATTTACATGGTGTACGTAAGCCCTTAAATTCTAAAAGCACTGTCCCCAAATGGACATCCTAATAGATCTGGAGAGCATAACTATACATGAAATACAACTCCTGCAATTATCTGAGGCCAAAAATAAGTGTGTTCATCTTCCACAGAGGCAACTCAGTTCTGCACAAACAACAGGAAGATAAGAAAGAGTTCAGCCAGTAGTGGCATGTAGAACACAAGGTTAAGTCCAAAGGAGAGCCTTACCAATGGTTTCATAAATTCAGTTTTGAGAGCAAAAGGGCAAGGACTTACTAAACATGTTCACCATGATAAAAAGTGTAAATACAAATCAGCTTAAATGGGAAACTTCTTTAAGCCCCTAGGCAGTCAAATTATTTTTTCCATTTGGCATGGCTCACCCTGGCCAGCTTAAGTTTCAAGAAGGGGAAGGCAAGTCCGTCATGGGAAAGCAAGAAGAATTTCAAAGTATTTCTTCAATCATAGTAATCCACAACCAAAGGGAAAAGTGAATGCAAGCTGCTGCTGATTTTAGATGGAATGGCCTTATTTTACCACCCCCATCTGAGACTCTTTTCCAAGAAAGAGAATCAGAATCAAGGAAGCAGCTCCAACACCTACCCACACACAGCATACAGTATTGGCAAGACGCATGCAAAACTTACATGGTAACTTACATGGTGGTGGGGACAAGCCATTTCGATTTAAAGTGCCCCCCATTAACACAAAGTTCATCTCCTCAGCAGAACATTGAAAGACTTCAACGTATCTGTCCTTCATAGTCTTCTTATGACACTTCTGTGCAGCCAGAAAAGCTCTGTCTGCAGATTTCATCTGAATAAAAGCGTCTCCCAATGGACGTCCCTGCAAACAAGACAGATGAGGAAGTGTTTCTGGATCTCCCATGAATTAGCAACATAATGATTTCTGCTGTTATAAAAAAAACCACCAACAAAGCAGTCTTGAATCATGAAAATATTTATCTCCAAAGTTAAGCACAGTCAGTCATCCCTACAGACTCCTACACTTCCCAGTGTGTTTAAAGTCTCCCTGAGGTTCCCCACTATTGCTGGGGAATCCTGATCTGCCTACTGCATCTCATGTTCCTTCTTCCCTCTTATGCTAACTTAACTGAGAAAACAAATACAGTCGAGGGCTAAGCTATATTTTTTCTTTTAAGGCCAGTATGTGCCAGAATATTTGCAATGGCACCAGCCTACATCTAATCAAGTAGATAGGCTTGGTGTGAGCTTACAGGGAAGAAAAAGTACATCTTTACAAAAAGCTGTGAGTGGGATAAACAAGGAGTCATTTGAACCACATACAGCTGCCAACTCTAAGTAGCCAAAACCAGAAGTAAAGCTCTGAAGTCAGTTCTGAATTCAGTTCTGGGCCAGTTCTCATTTCTGAGAGAAGAACAACCACATCATCATCCTTTACAGATTTGGTTCTGAATCTCTCATCAGAAATAGGGATAGCAGGAATAGGGAGAATATTCCAAATGATAATAATCACATACTTGGGTACCTGGAGAGAAAAAGTACCTGACAGCTTTGGGCAGGAGTGGCTGGTACCCACAGGTCTATGCACACACTCATTTCTTCCTCCAATTTCTTTAATCATTTCTGACAGGGGCTGAAACTTGCAGAAACCACTACTTCTGCTTTAGCATCTGCATCTTATTATTTATTCCCCAAGCCCTGCTCATTCCTTATCTTATTCAGTCTTGGCTAGCCTATGGCTAGATCAAGTTCTCAAAGACAAAGAAATCTCAAGATAGAGAGGTACTGCAGTAACTGTAGCCCCCATTCTCTTCCCAAGCTTCCCAGATGTAGAAGCTTCACCCCAGGAAAAGGAACCATTTTGCATTTTCAATGTAGTCTTAGTGTTGCTCAGAGCAATTTTAGAACCATTTTTTTACAAAGCAGTAATCAGTACAACCACTCAGGGCATCCCTGTGGAGTATGTATGAGAAGCTGCCTTCTCCTTCCTTAAGACAAAAAGCTACACAGATGGACTAGGAGATAACATTTACCTTTGTCTGAAAGGTTTTGGTAGAAACTGCCTCCAGCACACAATGGCAAATATCTGACTATCTGCCCTGACTATACAGGGCAGTGAGCTGTTAATCTGTGTACTTGGCCTTAGCCATTTAAGGGAAGTAACACTGCAGTTCAGGAGATCTGAAGGTTTAAAACTAAGCTTAAGGACTCGTGACATAGGAAATCCTTACACCTCTAGAAGACCACAGTCACTGATGTACTCATGCATTACCTGAGGCACACTGTTCACCAGAGCAGGGCAAATTGCTCTTTTGTAAGCTAATACTGATCACAGTTTTGTTTTGAAGATATACCTTTCACAAGGGGAATTAAGCACCCTGTTGAGCAGGGCTCTTCAGTTCAAGCCTCCAACAATGCAGGATGACAGTTAGTGCTATGGGAACACTTTCCTCTCCCCTCAAAACAAAGAACTATGGCTTAGCTTTTAGACACATGGGTCTCACTGACAGAAACCACTCTGCAGAAAATGCAGCAGCTGTTAAAGCGTGGTTCAAATACACTCATCTATGGTCAGTACACTTTTAGAAGGAAAGCCAATTAATGCCATTAGTGACAGTCCCAAAAGCACTCCCCTCCTGGTAATGATACTGAGCCTGTTCATGTATCCAACCAGCAATAAGGCACCTACCAACCTGGTGATTTAGCACCATGTGAACGCCGTGGGTCCGAATGTCTGTAGAGAACTCTCCCAAGAAATCCAGGATGTCCTCAATAGTGGCAGCATAGGGAAGTCCACGCAAACGTATGCAGTCTCTGACATTAGTGGGAGGCACAAACTGCTGAGGTAATACTGGAAGAATAGGAGGTGTTGGGAGAGGAATGAGAGGTGTGGAAGAGTACCTATTCAGCACCTGTGCGAGACAGAAACATAGGTTACAGAAAGCCTTACTTACTCTTCAATTCCCAGGAACTGAATGCAACATCCATCTCATCTATTTTCAGTCTTGAAAGCATTTTTTAAAAAGATGCGAGACATTTTCTGGGCTTAAATCACAGCAGTAATGCTTAGAATTTAAATACTTCACAATAGATCTTGGGAAGAGTCAGCTTATTCTGAAGAATTTACTTGAACAGTAACACAAGTCTCAAAAGATCCCTTAGAACACAAAACCTGCATTTCCACAGCATTTTTGGGGGGAAAGATATCCAAAAATATTTTACTAGGTATATGGGGCCACTTCTACCCAAAGTTTCTCCTCTGCTAAGCATTAGGATAATCTCCAAACTAGAAACCTATTTTACTACCAAGCAGTCTTATGTTACTTAGTCACAGTATTTGAAATAAGGGAGTCATGCTCTGAGATTTCTTGGGTAACCTGATCAGTAGAAACTCCATGCTGTCAGTGTTCACCACCTATTTAATCACTTCCCTTTAGCTATCTCTGAATAACAGAAATATTCACTTATATTTACACGCGTATCAGATGGCTTTGCTAATGCTAAGCAAAGGAACTGGGGAAGCACTCAAGGAAAACACAACAACAAGAGCAAGCATTACAGCTAATGTTTACTCCGTGTCATCCTCCAAGCAAGGCACGGAGATCTCTGCCTACTTGGGGGCGAAGAGCAATGTCATTGCTTGGTTACAATGAAACAACTACTGCTAGGCTACAGCTTGCATCCAGAACAGAAATTAGTGATATGAGCCTAAGTTTTTTGAAACATATAATCCTCTTAGCCCTACTTCATCCCCTAGACAGAATAATCAATGGTCCATCAAGCTATGTGAATGGCAGGAGGCATTTCTCAAGCCCAGTTCCATACAACTCTGCCACCCTCTGCCAGGTAGTCAGTGCTGTCAAGAGATTGTTGACAGCTGTCATTAGAGACAGTTTGAAAGGTTCTTGACCTGTTGCACTTTAGAAGACGACATCAAAATGCTGTTTTTCTGTGGTGACTTTCAGATCAAGAGTTGTTGCTAGCACTCCTTTTGAATAGAGCTAAGTGAACTCAGCAGAAAATTTGCAGGTTTAGTGTTTTACGTTACAGATACTGTAACTACATATAACTACTGCTTGCAAGTATATCAGAAGCCAAATGGGAGAAGTCTAGGATTTTTATTATATGTATACACATGTATGAGTGGCCACATGTGCTCAGACACTTGTCAGGAGTAAGAAAAGAGGGGAAAAAACCTTTCAATTGTGGCCAGGCAGTGTTTGCTGACACTACTTTGTGCCAGTGTAGGAGTATGGAATACAAGGTGTCTGAAGCTTTTCACTCACCTGCTGAACTTCTGCTGCAGTGCTCCTGAAGAGTTCAATGTACCTTTTTCCAAGCAAGTCCTTATGCTTTTTCAGTGCATTCTGTGCATATTCCTCACAAGCAAACAACACAAAGGCATCCCCTGTTGGCCTGCTGTCAGGGTATGTGACGAATAGGACTCCCTCCTTCCCTCCTGTTACAGGACAGTGCTGGCCAAAGAATGCCAGTACTTCTTCTGTTGTCACGTTGAAAGGAAGACCCCGCATCCTGACTATCACTTGGTTTTCTTTTGATAAGAACTGTGCAACCTCATTGGAAGTGCCTTTAGCAAGGAAAGAAAAAACCAGACAGAAGCACTTAAGTCTTGGCAGCAGTATAGAACCCTGAGTAAGTCTGGCATAGCTACCTCCTCTTCCCTGCAGAATCCCTTCTGCATGAATGGTGCCTCCATGCACCTCACCTTATTAACTAAGGCCTCCGGCACACACTGAAGCCACAATAAGCAGCAATCAAGTACTCAGACTATTGTGCTGGGAAAGAAGGCTGGAAGGGCATGCTGAAGACAGCTTATGAATTTCATCCTATCCTGAGAAAATAGTCAAACTCTGCAATTCTGCTTTCACTATCTTCAAGAAGACCACTGATGTTCACAGTTAAAAGTCTACACTGCCCTATCCAAAGCTACCTGCTAACCAACTCTGCACCTTCGTACAATCCTTTCAGTTACTTCTAATTCATTTTGTAAAGCTGATACATGGAATGAACTTGTGCCAGACATGTTTTTCCAATATTAGTATTTTCCAACTATTTTTCCAACATTGTATACTAATGTCTTTACTTTGACAGGTGTAACTGTTACCAAACCTATCAAATAGACATCTATTCAACAACTTAATAATCTCTCACTCCAAAATCTTCACCTTAGGTATTCAGTTAGTCATTTATAAACCTGTTATGAACCAAAAAGCTCTTAAGGCAGTACTGCTGATACATAACAGCTTATCCAGTCTTAAACTCTCTATGATTGTAATCATAAAAGGGAGAGGGTAGTCTGTCCCATCTCCCCCCCCCCACCCCGTTTCCCCTTTATTTAAAAACAAAGATTTGATTTGAAGAAAATCAGTTCCCTAAAGCCCTTGTTATTTACACTGTTATATCTGTTTGCTTTTATATGCAAGTCTCCTAAGCAACAGCAGTCATATTGTTTTGAAAAACTACTCAGGTTTTCATTTTCAGCAGCCAAAAGCATTTAGGTTATCTTCCTAAATGATGGGACCTAGCAAACAAAACTCATTAGTATCACTTTGACAGATCAAATCCTTATGTGACAGGGTGCTTGAAAATGGCAAGGGTGTGGAACAGAAAAAGGTGGGCAGGTAAGACATGGAACAGCTTGGACTGCTAACAGATGCACACCAGCCACCTAGCTGGTAGTCAGGGAAAGGAAGTGAAAGACTACATCCAAGAAGAGCAATTTAAAACTCCAAGTTAGTGGCAGATGCTGATAGAACAAACCCCCTTCTCAATCCCTTAAACATTACCTCCTGCGATTTTCAGGAAATCTTCACCTGTTGCCTTGTATACCTAATGAAAGGGAAGAGAGAACATGTGATTGACATGCAGTTTGCACTCCTGCTGAGAGGAGGACCTCAGAGCAAGCAGTACACACCTCAATGTATCGGTTTCCCATGTGATGCTTGTGTCTTTGCAGCGCTAGATCTCTATGCTCTTCATTTACAAACCTGACGAGAGCCTCCCCATTCCTTCTACCTTGGGCATTGAGGCAGAGTGCAGCACCTCCCCTGCAAGATTTAAGTTACAGACATAACCACTCCATGGCTAGGGCAAGTGAAGCACTACAAAGGCAGAGGTAGGTTCTTTGCTACTAACTTGGCAATATTTAAGCCTTTGAAGAACTTTGCTATGTCTTGGTCAGATGACTGCCAGGGGAGCCCTCTTGCTCGGATGACAGCGTTGTCGTCCACAAGCTCCATCTTGCTGCTGCAGGCACCAAGAGAAGAAACAATGTAGAGAGGGCTCCAGCAGGTCTCAAACACAAACCACTGCCTGTCACCTGCACTCCAGTAACAAGCTTCTGTCTGCTGGGTGAGGGGAAGGGACTGCCAGGGCTGAAATCCATAACCAAGTCACAGCAAATGGCAGCGTTGCCCTTTTCCCAAGCTGCCCCTTTCCCAGCTGCCCTCTGCACTGCACCACACCTGCTCCTTGAGCTCTCCTTTCCTTGAGCATTCTCCCGCTTCACTCTCCCCTCATGAGATACTGATGCGTGGTACTTCCCTGTTAGTCAAACAAGGTAAGTACAACGAAGTTAAATACTTGCTCTGCTAATCCTGGCTAACTGGAGATTGAAGCAGAGCAGTTAGACATAAGTAAAGCCAGTGTCTGATGGTGTGCACTCTTAGTCAGTGTGGATTTGTTTGGGATTTTACTTAGGCTGAGGACTCCTCCCTGAGGGGTTTTGCCTTAACATTTTGTGTTTGGGCCACTGCTGCACTACTGGAGGCTAACATAGCCACAGGCAAGGCTGGCTGCTTAGCATGGGAATAGCTCAGCCACAGAGAGCCAGATTTAATTGGTCATTACCACAGCCTCTTTTGTTCTCTTGCATGTTCAAAATGCCATGTAGAACAAAACGCTGACAGCTACCCATGGCCGCCTTTCTGGCAATTGGAGGGACAGGCTGCCACAAGGAGTCCGTGGGACTGATTGAGCAGCTGCCTGCCCTCATGTGAGAGAGAGAGCTGTGCTCTGCAGCAGGAAGGCCATGTTTCGGATTGTATTCTAAGTCCTCAGGTGACTTTTCCTGTAGATGTCTGTCCAGAACTGCTGCTTACATCACCCAATCCTCTATCTCAATAGTTCTCCTCAAGAAAAAATAAGCAATTAGTACATGTGTTTGTGCAAATAAGATAGTGTTACCTTTCTCAATGACAGGCCTTTGCAGTTCAAACAAAGTCTATATTTCATTTATTATCACAAATCAGACAGATCTTTTACCTCATGACCGGATTTCATTAGCAAAAGGGGAAAAAGAAACTTAGAGCAACACTAAAACTAAAAGCTGCCTGAACTGATCTCACTGGACAATCCCTGCCAGTATTGCTCATTCTGCTCTTGCCTCCTTTGGTTCAGAATGCCAGTATCATCAACTATGATGACAGTTCATTAATCTGGAAGGGGTAAGCAAGCATTCACACAAGAAGGGAATCAGAATAAAGTCAGTTTAAGATTGGTCTCCTGTGATAGTGCAGAGCAAGTAGCTAGCAACACGGGAAAAACCCCCACACAAGAGAAAGTCATCATGATGTGTATTCAGCAACTGTGAAGCAAACTGCAGGAAAAGTGCAACAGTCAATACTAATAGGGTTACTTCTGCAAAAATGCTCACGTTCTTTGTTAACAGCACAGCACACTCAACATCTATTATACGTACTTCGCAGAATCCAGAACTCCCAGCACCTAATAAGCAACAGTTTCCTGCCAGGCTTCAGTCCTACATCTAATGCAGTTCTCTATATGCTTTCCCACTTAAAACCTCTAATTTATTCTCACAGCAGTGACAGGATAAACAAAAAAATAACAGCAACAGCTATTTGCAAATAATTCATACAGAAAAGTACAGCTTATATAAGCAATGTCTGGCTTTTTTTTTTTTTTTTTGGTTTAAAAAGAGAGAAAAGGGAAAAGATACATACCAAGGCCCACTTTCAAATTTGTAGTTCACTCTTTCTGGATCTGAAAACCTGTGATCTAGGAAACATGGTACAAGTTATTTCCTTCTGCCACAGCAGGCAAAACACACAGGCAAAAATAAATGAGCAACACAGAAGACCAGTTCCTCACACTTACTATATGGTTCAGATATTAGTGTTAAAATAATGTTCCCCATATCTTCAACTCGAGAGGCTCCATAGGCGAGTGCTGAACTGTTCTTGTCAAGATTTAAATCTTTGTGTGGAGTTAAGGTAATCATCACCAGATAGATTTCAAATTGGCCTCCTACTAAAGCAGCAAGCTTTAACATTATCTTAATGGTAAGTCGCATCTCAGGGGAAGATTTAATCCATTTTCCTGCTGGGATGCATCAGCTGCACTGGGTTTGCTGCTGCTTTGGCCTCTAACTACTGCCACCTGCGGGAGTGTGAGGTCAATCCAGAAAGTGTCTGGGGACATGAGGCCCCACAGTAAAGACATACATATTTAATATAATCATGCATTTTGTATATCTGAAAGACAGAAACACTCTTGCATGCAGAAAAGACTGGAGTCCTGTCCTCTTTAATTAAGATCATCTTTAATCTCCAGGGGAAGATCCAGGGATGGAGGAAAAACAAACCATCAACTAGAAACTAAAAGAGACATAACACATGTTTTCTAAACGATTGAGTACTCTACCTAAAGTAGAGTAAATATGTTACCACTTTGATAAAATTTACTAGCAGCACCTTGTCTAAATCTCACCTATTTGAAGTTCCAGCCTGAGCTTTGTGCTGTTAAGCAGTGTTAGGAAAAAAAAACAAAAAAAATAAAAATCAGCTTAGAGTGCATCATTATGGATAACCAAGAGACAAACCAGAGTCTGACAACCCATAGTGTCTTCCACAACCCTTCAGATCAGAAGAAAAAAAACAAAAAAAACAAAAAAAAAAACCAGCAAGGATAAGCTCCCCTGCTAATAAGGAGCAGGAAGTATTCTATCTTGGGCTGTAGACTGACCAGATACAAATCCACATTCATTGAGAGAGTCAGATTTAAGTTCTATACACCAAGCGTTTATTATAGTCTCTTTCCTCCTTCTAGCTGTGTTTGATCGCTGTAACAGAACAGGAAGATTACTTGCAACTTGCAATTTGTCAAGTCAACTTTTTTAAAAGGACTTTTTCCTATCCCCATCTCTTTCTTTGAAGAGAAAATGGTTTAAAAAAAAAAAAAAATCAAAACAAGAAGTAAACTATAAAGTAGTTTGAAGCAGTATTTGCTTTTTCTGTCTTATCACTTCAGTTTAAGATAGTATAGAAGGAAAAAAGGTTTTTTAAACAACAATCTCTATCCTGGCACAGCATAACAGTAAAGCAAGGCATTCAAAACAGATGAATGCAACAGTTACTTGCTCACATTTCCATAGATGTACAAAAGATTCATTTCAAATGCATAGTCTGTATTTTGATGCTCAAAAGTTGCTTTTCCATCCCAGATGGCAAAGCTCCTCTTAAAGAAAAGGTTTTCTCCACCTAAAATTGATCATATTTTGAGTTGGCAGATGTCTACATGAAAGACAAGGAGTAGAGGAACAATTTCTGTTAGAAACAGGCAATGCACACTCACTTTATTCTATCATCTGAACACAAGTCATGGGGAACAAGCATACAAATGTCACTGGGGAATAAAGTCTTCCCATCATTTGTGACATGACAGCAAGTCATTCCTACAAAACACTTTTTTTTTTTTTTTTTAAATCTCAGGACTAAAACAACTTTAAAAAGTAATTAACTGAGTCAACAAATCTCTTCCACAACAAAGACAGGAAAAATGCAGCACTGAAGCTCTGAGACTAATTTGATTTTGAGACTTTGTTGGGCTTTCAGTCTGAATTGGAGTGTGGAATGTGAGAGGACAGCGCTTAATCAGCTTCAGATACACTTGTAAGAAGACTCACCATAGTTTAAAATTAGGAGGGAAAAATCAAACCACGTAAATTAAGCCAGTGATCCATCTCTGCAGCTTGCACTGTCTGCTAGCCATTGCCATCATCTGCCCTCCAAATATCATTGGAGTAAACTGGTCAAAAGCATTACACAGTCCTCTTAAAACCAAACAAAAAACCTGGACAAGCCACATGAAACAACCCAAAAACATAATTTAAGAGACAGTCACCAGTGTTTATGACAACACAGTACTTCTTCATTGCTCTCTCTTCCTAAGCCATCCACCAAAGTTTGTCTTTCTCTACCAGCACCTGGGAAAGGAAGGGTGGGGGGCTGAAAAGAAAACAAACATTGCACAGATTGCCTTCATCACTGGCACAGAGGCTGTCTAGTCAGCAGCACACAGATGTTTCTGTGCAGCTCAGGTAGCAAAGCAGAGAAGCACTTCTCCTTCACCAGACATCACACCTATGCAGAGCTTCTCCTGCCCAGCCAGGTTATGAGACATTGCTGGAAATGCAGATATTGGAAACCTGGTCTTGCCTATTTCTTTGTGATTAGCGGAGTTACTTTTTTTTTTTTTTTTTTTTTTTTTTTTTAATATTTCCTATAGTAAAGAACTCAGGTAGTAGTTTCAGCAGACATTAGGAGAAAGATACATGTACTCACAGTGGCTTTGCTACCAGACCATGCTGTCACAACTGAAGACACATTAACAATTGCCACTTGCAAAGCCAGATATTTCTGCAAGTGATGAGCTCTAGAAGATGGGACAGAGCACTGAAGCAAGGCCACAACACAAGGAAAAACAAACACTCCCACCCCACTTACATTTTCTTCAGAAGACATCGATCAACTGGAGATAGTTCCAAGAAATACCCTGGTGCCAACAAAACTGGTGCCAGGTGTTCAGACACAGGAGTCAGTTGAGCAAAAAGCCCTCCAGATTAATATAAGCACAGCAGGAGGGGAGGAAGAAATTTATCACCATTAGTAGGAATGAGAGAAGAGACATCACTCCCACCTTTGCCTCTGATTAGCTGGAAGCAAGGCTTTTAGGCAAGGCTGAAGAAGAAAATTGTTCATGTTCTGCACACATCATTATTGCACTCCTTCACAACTTCAACTAAGTGAAAACCTGAATTCTGATGAACATGCCTATCCATAGACAGATGCACCTCTACCAACCAAGTAGCTGGAAACAAAAGATGCTTAGGAAAAAAAGCTGCTAATGGAACAGTCATTAAAAAAAAAAAAAAAAAAAAAAGACACTTGCTTTCTGAAGATACAGGAGCCCCCATGTTTGTTTGTGTACACTGATGCTTAAAGCTTGTCCATCCTAGGAAAATGGGGGTGGGGGGGGAGGGAGGGAAATAAAGTTGATTTGGCAGATAAATCTAAATTTACATTTAAAGCAAAGGAAGAATGAAGTTGGCTGTCTAAAGCTACTAGAATGCATACTCTGATACTGCATATAAGCAAAGTAGGGTGCAAAAGGTGCACTGAGACAAGATAGAAAACAAGGATTTTCCTAACCTTGTTGCACAGCAGCAGTACCATGAGCAACATACAGCACACTGAGGGGTGGTACACCTCACATCAGCTCATAAAATTTAATAAAATTTAGAGACACTTCTAAATTACTCCCTGATTCTTCACTGCTGCTTCATCCACCATCAGTGCCCTCCAAGCCCTTCTCCTCCACTTCTCAGGGTCTCAGCTCCCTTCTTAACCACAGCAAGAGTGAAGTTGAATAGTCAATTAGCTCAGAGGATACAAGATGAACTACATATACTTTTATGCTTTGCACTGATTATGCTTCTCCCTCTTTCTGCTATTTTAGGTCTCTACTGACAGAATGCTACCTTAATTCAAGTAATATCTATAAATAGACATTATCTGATGCTACCTAGTTTCTGGGTACTACCACAGGATATACAAATAGCAGTGCACAAGATTCTTGGGTAATATTCATTAATGGGGCTTTGCTAGCTAGTCTTAAGTACTGGTGGTTATAACTGCGCTCTGCATAATGGTTGTCAAGACATCCAGGTCATAAAGCAAGTTTCAGTATTGTAGTATCCAGATCTTATCCATAGCATTAAACAGACTGTTCTGAAGTACGCCTGTGTTTCTACTGACAACACCCACCAGTACTCTTAGCAAGGAGTTACCTCCACAAAATCCAGCTGAGAAGCAAATGGAGCAAACCATACAGTGGAGGAAGCAATAGTTATTTGCCTTTTAATGACTTCTGCACGCCCAATCTTGAGGCAAAGGATGAGTCTTCTGCAGACTGCATTCTGAATAGTCATGCAAGCTTTGTTCACTCCACCCTGAAGGCACTCACAGCAGTGAGAACTGGCTTAGCAAGCTTTGCAAATCAAGAGGTGCAGCAAGTTTGGGAGGATGCAAGAAGAACAACCCTGCTTCTTTGGTACACTGACATGTTTAAAGAGATTTCAACAGAACAGAGTTCCTCTCCTTGCCAGAACAGGATCATTTCTTCCAAGTTTTTGTTACTCAAAATTTCTCATCATTGTCCTGTCTCTATAATGCTGACTAAAGGAAGTCTGCCACAATCCCATCTCCTGCACCAGGAAACAGCTTGGAGACTTTCAGTTAAGAAGTAGTGGCAGAGGTAACAGAACTAGCTTCAGTTCATCCTTAGCCCCTCAAATCCAATGGCATTTGAAGTACTTCCTTGTCCTGCATTAAGTGAAATCAGGGGCTGTTTGTAGAAGGATTTCATCATTTCTTTGGGGGCCGAAGGCATGATGCAAAGCTTTCACCCAAGCTCTTAGATCCAGAAAGATGTAATTACTATACACGATTTCAAGTAGTTCACTGAAGGAATAAGGCCTAGAAGTTCTTTCTGAAAGAAAAGTCACTCAGCCAGATACTTAGTTTAACATTTTTCTTTTCAAGATCACTCAAAGAAGGCAAGCATTAAGTATACAGTCAAACACCAGCTGTCCAGTGCTTTACAGCCTGGAATATGCTTCCTGAATGACAGCAGCAGGAGATAATATCCTTTGACTGCTGGGAGCTGTGGAGGACACACTCCATCAGCCTTTAGCTTGTTTAGCCAAATGCTACCAGCCAAAATACAAGCATCTGAAAGGCTCCTCCAGGTTTAACCAACTGTACATCAATAGCCAGCTTTCCCATAACTCTTTCATATCACTCAAGTTTCCTGTCATTGAGCACAACCGTGTTACATCTGGGTCAGCAGATTTAAGCACATTAAGGGATTTGCCCAAACGCATTCTACTCCTGCTCCCACCAGTCTGGGAATGCAGTCTTCTGCAGCCTTTGGTCGCACTCAAGCAAAACCTTTGCCCACCGAGCGCTAACAAACCTGGCCCACCGCAGACTGCATGCTACAAAGGAATCTCAGAGGATTCCCATCATGCAGCCCCATTAACTATGGGGCAGGAGAGCTACGCTTGCTTCCTGGAAGAGTAACAAGAGATGGATCAGGTTCTGTGTACTAGCCTGAAGCTTCATTTCAACTCACTCCATTGTATTTTAGTTCATCCATCCTCCTTTCTTTACCACCTCCCCAGCACTTCAAATTCTGATTTAAGTTCCTTTTCAGTTACACTTGTCTCTGTTACATAGCAGTCTCAGAAAAAGAAGCTGTCTCACTTGAAGAAAACACCATATACAAAGTTGTTGGAACCGATCCTCAGACTTAAACATCTATTTCAACAAAAACTTTATCACAGGCATTACATACATACTCTCCAAGTACAATTAACTTAACCTCCTCAGTGTTAGGAGGTGTGTAAGTTGGGACATTCCAGCAAGGCAAAGGAAAATTATCATACTGAGCAATAAAAGGAAAACGAGCAAACCTTACTTTTTCCTTGAAGGGATTCCTTTTAAGTCCCTGCACGGACTCTGAACAATACAGGTAGAGACAGTTAATTCCAGCCATGTTGCACAGATAGAACTAGTTTATAAGTAAGAGCATCAGCAGTTACAAATCAAGGCAAACCACAAAGATAGAAACAAAATAAAGTTATTTAGACTTGCACATACCTAAAGAAAGTCTGAATTCTGGATCCAACACACCTTAAAACCACTTGGACAGACTGCCCAAGCCCTGGAGGAACAACTACTGGTAAATTCTGCCTCAGGTGGTACTGACAGGCAATGCCCAGAGTCCTACTCCCCTCTGCCAGCAGATAGGAGTGCAGTCAGTCATCATGCATCAGCTGAGCAACAAGTCTCTGGTGTCTACATTAACAAAACTGTTTCAACAGTGGCAAGACATACATCAGACATTCACAAAGGGAGGAAGCAAAGGCATCTCTCCAAAACAGCTAACAAAGCTCACTGCCATTAACTCCTCCAGCTCATGTGTTACATATTCAGTTTTTCACCATAATTTAAGAAGTCTCCATCATCCCATTTACAGACTGCAATAGTTTCCTTTTCTACATAGAGGTCCACACTCCAACACTTAGAAAGTATACTTCTTTGCTTCAGTGCAAGGGGGAAAAAAAAAAAAAAAACCAAAGATTCCTGCTCCTTCAGTAGAAGAACTGCATCTTAACTTGTAGCATTGACTTCAGCTCCAACAACTGCACATGGCACTCAAACAGAACTGATCTAACCCTCTGACTGGGTTTCAGAATCATCTGATGTGGTCTGCAAGTAGTTCTTAAGACATTCCTACTACTAAATTGAAAAAAATGATACAGACTGCATCTCACTGTCAGCACAGCCTGACGTTGAGATGTGTAGCACACAGCTTCCATGAGGCTGGATATCATGTTCACTGGCAGCATTCCTGCCTTTGCTGCACTCCTGAGTTAAAAACCTCACTACCAGTTCACATGGAGAATAACTGTTCCCTCCCAGCATTTACTTTTACATTAAAATAAAAGCATTAACTGTTACAGTGAGTAACCTACCAACTTCAAATTTAGATTCACAGCAGTGATTTGGATAAATATGTTAGTTACATTAAGCTGTAAAGTTTAAAGGACATTCTGTAAAGGTAGTAAAGAAAATGTTCAGAAGTCAGGAAGAAACATAGGACTTTTCCCTATGGCATCGTGCATCCTCAGGGGTTTTGTTAATCTTTGTGAGAAGGCTCTGTGCAGCTCTGAGTCACTCAAAGTTCCATCACCCCTAAACAAGTGTTGCAAGCGTTACTCACATCTGTCCCAAAACTCAAGAAAAGCTGTATCAGTAGCAGACACCATCACTGTTAGAAGGATACATTCTGTCATGGCCGCAACATCCAGTTTGCTGATGTCAGGTGAGCCAGGGCAACACTTCTTGAACTCTTTCCGCAAGTCAAAAAAGGAGTAGAAGCATTCAGGCAGTAAGATATTCTGTAGAAGGAGAAGGTAGCAACTGTCAGCTCGGGCAAGTTTATTTCACTTTGTCTTTACATACCTGACTTTCCTTATAAAGGCTAGGAAAATAGCAAAAAAACAGCCATTGCTGCAGAGAAGCACATATGGCTCCTCTCAGCCATTTAAGCAAGTTTATCAACTTGTTTTTTTTGCTTAAGCAGTGTCCTCTCTGTGGTTTAAGAAAGAGAAGCGTGCTTTTTCACTGCCAGAGAAACATTTGCTATTATTACTACTGCCTCAAATCCAATATGTAAGAGAGCAAACGCATGCTATTGCGACATTTATCGTCAATTCTTGGTTCCAATTTTTATTGTGAGAAGCCAGAGGGCACTCGCTTCAGTTCGTAGAGCCAAGTAAATTTTGCAAGTCTAGCAGAAGGCATCTTGGTTTATAGACAAGGCAGAGTTTTCAGAGAAGAGACACATTTCAAATATTTATTCCCTTAATAAAAAAGGAAACTGGGGCAGATGAAGGTTTGATACTGTGTAGAAATTATCAGCCTATGCTTGCTAACTGCTTTAATTATAGCGCATGAAGCCAGGAGCAAGTCACAGAGTCAACTGCAAGCATCAATAAAATCCTTTTTGCCCCACAACTACGTACTATCATACGCTTTTGTTTGTTTGTTTCAAGATGAGGAAAGAAGATCTGGGAAAACTGTTCCAACTAACACAAACACCCCTATCCTTCAGCCTTCCTCAGAGCCACAACGCTCAGCACTCTGATTGGCAATGGTCTGCACTGCCTCTCCAGACAGAGAGCAGATTTAATGACAAGTCAGCATCATCAGGATGACAGGATACACGGATATACATTTAGAAAGCAAAAAGAAGTTTATTCTCTGTAACAAGTTCTGCTTTAAAAACATTAGAGCTTATCTTAGCACACAGACAGGTGCATTAGGCAAACGATCACCTTTAAAGACAAGCTTATGGAAATGCAGACATGCTTGCCAAGACTGCCTGCTCTGGTTTTTGCACGGCTATTTTCTTCTTCCATCAGAGATCAAATTCTGCACTCAAATTCAGTTGGAACATTTAGCTTGGTTCTTAAGACCAGGCATCTTAAAGAAACATGTATTCCAGAGTCCTGTGACTTCTGCATATCTGGATTTTATCTGGCTTGAACATTCAAAGGCCAGGCTGAAGGGGGTCTGAGCAACTGGATCCAGCAGTAGATATCCCTGATCACTACAGGGGAGTGGGACTAGATGACCTTTAAAGGTCTCTTCCAACTCTAAGGATTCTATGATTCCATGATTTTTTGATCCGCACATCCCCAACCTCACCATCAGGGCATTCGCCAGAAGACCACAGGTCTCATAAGAAGAAAAGAAAGCAGAAAAAAGCCAATTTCTAGCCAATAATTTGTAACAAAACAGCAGCAGAAGATTTTAGTGATAAGAATCGAATTGTCACCAAGACTGATATACAAGGGAGGAAAAAAAAAAAAAAAAAAAAAAAAAAAAAAGAATCCCTACTGCCTATACCAAACAACTGTAAGAGCTCTTCCTTCTGTTGTTCACATCATTTAGCTGCATGGGAAAGCTGTGTCTTAAAACATTTAAGACATTTTAAGTGAGAAAGTTTGTTGAAGACCTGTTTCCACATTTCCTCCCATTCATGTTATACTCTAACACAAAGACAAATGCATACAGAACTACTCCTTTATTATGAGCCACACGTGTGGCTTTTCTTCTAAGGTTTTTAAGGTATAAATAATAATAGCAATAACAAGTAATAAAAAGCTCATTTGATATCACTATCAGAACAACACAGACTTGCAGCATTGTCCCTTCAAAGATGGGGCAGTGAAAGGACAGGCACAGAGATCAGCAGCCCGTGGTTCAGACCAAAACTGCTCTGATGCAAAGCAGCACACCTTCATAGCCAGCCAGAAAACAAGATGCTTTTAACACTGAGGCAGTTAATGCAGGCCTGAAGGCTTAGCATATTGCTGTAACCCTATCACTAATGAAAAGTAAGCTGGAGCTCATAACACTGTTAGTGATTTGGCAACTCTAAGTTACAGAAAACTCTACAGTATGGGTACTAGTCAGCCCTTCAGCATGCCTCCTACCACTGCTCCGTTCCTCACAAATGCAAGCACCGCCCTCACAGGGCCAACTGAGCATACAAAGATTGAAAGCTGCTGAAGCTAAAGGGGAATGTCAGATTTCAAAAGGCAGTTAACCACATTCAACATGAACTGTTTGGCAACATCCCTAAACTACCACTTGTTAACCCATTGTAGCTCCTGCAGCAGTACTTCAGCAGATATATTCTGCTCATATGATGCCCCTTTCTCAAACACACAATTCAAAGACATCCTTCTGGCTGAACCTTGAAAGGCACCTGGGAGCTGCATAGACATTAGCATTCACCACTGCTTGTGCCACCCATGCAGACAGGCTCATAGTTTGCTAATTATATGCTGAATGATAAACAATATTTGGATTACAGAGGTCCCCTCAAACTACACATTTTGAAGAGAAGTTGTTATTAATTTTTAAAGTGAATACACAGAGAACATTAAAAGGCAAACTTAAGAGACAGCTACATACCTTTTTGGAAGTTTCAGGATGCAGAACCTGTCTGATGTGCAACTGTCCATCAGTACAGAAACAAAAGGAAGTACCTACACCGATGTTCAGCTCATTGCTCACAGACTGATTAAACTGGAAGCAGGAACAACAAAAGACAAATGTAAAAGATCTGAGCTGCTGCATGAGGAAGTCTCACCAACTGATAGCGTTAATCCTGGCCAGCCGGATTACAGAGCTGGAATTTCTTTTTTCATTTGCCTGTTGCAGATTTATTGCTTACTAACTCAGTGTGTGATGTCCCTCATGGTATTATCTTCATAAGGCAATTGCTCTTTTCCCCCTTCTATCAAGATGTGGCCAGGCACACACAGTGTACATTGTGAAAATGATTCTTTTTCCAGAAGCATTTGTGCGAGCTCTGCAGAGAGGCAAAACTGGTTGCAGAAAACACACTTGGGCACACAGAGAGAAAGGCTTTCATCCCTGAGCTCAGTGAGAGTCCCATACACCCTTCTTCTTATTTAGAGGCTTCAGTGGTACTACATTCTTTCCAGAGTAAAGAAGACACCACGAGCCTTAACAGGGCTTGCCAGCACCCAATCTTTTCACAGGACACCTCTGCTTAGCCACTTACATGAGCGAAGAGGCAGCTGCAGCTATGACTCAGGGCCCAGCAGGACAGGAAACAAGATCAGAGGATGCCTAGCCCTCACCTTCCTCTCCTAGGGGTTCAGTCCTACCTCTCAAGTTGGAAGAGGTAAAGAAAGCTTCACAACACCCATCAGAAGCCTGACCCATGTGTGGGTAAGAGTCTCTACTGCTTCGATGGCAGGGAGGAAAGGATGTGGGGTAAATGCAGCTTTCCAGCTCCCACCCAGGGCCGCTAGCACCCATCAGCTGGCTACAGGGTATCACCTGTCTCAATGCCTGCTCCAGCGATGGAGCCTGTGCCAGGCTCTCCACGTCCACCTTGGTGACCTCGTGGCACTCAGCCGTCAGCTCCGGGTGGTCGGGGCGGACCAGCACATCATGCGGGTGCCCCAGCTCCAGGGAAAGCAGAGGAGGGGCGAGTCAGCACCCGGGTTGAGCTTCTCACCTGCAGCCCCAGCCCTGCCCTCCACCAGGACCTGCACGAGCCCGACATACCCACAGCCAGCCCGGCTCCCGGGCCACCAAGCGTAGCAAGGGGACAAGGGGAGCAGCGGCTCGGGGTCCTCCCTCCTCGCTCAGAGGGAAAATACCTTCTTAGTCCTCAGGTCGACCACCTTCCACAAGAGCTGGAGCAGCTCTCGCTCATCCGAGCCTAGCCTCGCCCCGTTGGTGCCCGCCGTGGTCACAAAAAGGATCACCAGGTAGTCGGGAGACGCCGTCATGGTGCCGCCGGGCCAGGGGAAGTGGGAAAGGATGGGAAGCCAAAAAAAAAAAAAAAGGGGGGGGGGGGGGGGGGTGGGAAAGAAAGCGAAGGAGGGGAGAAGGAAAAGAAGAGGCCACAAACTTTCCCTGCTGGAGGAGCTTCCAAGCAAGACCCAAGTGGTACAGCCCCCACCTGCAGCCCAGCTCCCTGGGGACTTGACGCGGGGGAGACGCTCAGGCACCCGTTTCCGTCCCCTTCCCCGCTTCTATTATTTTTTTCTTTTTTTTCCTCTCCTGGGGGTGGGAGGCAGCCGCTCCCACGCCGGCTGCACCCCTGGGAAGCGCGCAATGGCTGCGGGCTTTTCTGTTTGGGGCCGCGGCCCTACCTGCCCGCCCCCCGGCCCACGTGGTGCAGGTAGCACACACACCTGGCCCCGCCCGCCCATTGGCCCTGCCGAGCCGGGACGTGGCAGCCGCGGGCAGGGGGTTGGCGGAGCGGGCAGCGCTGATTGCGGGCGGGGCCGGGACCAGACGGGGAGCGAAGCGGCCAGCGCCGCCTTGGCTCTCTGGGAGGCCCCGACGGGAATCCCCCCCCTCCCCAGCTCCCTCTCTCCGTTTTCCTTCCTCCTTCCCTCCGTCCTTCAATCTCCCAGCTCGGCGGCCCGTACCCCGCCGGGCACCGCGCTCCTCCCGCTGTCGGCAAGGTGCGCCCGCTCCTGCCGGGACACGTTGCGGGCGGGCAGCGCGCAGCCCCGGCCCCTCCCGCCCCGCCTCGACGGCAGCACCGGGAGCCCCGAGCGGGCTCCGGCCGGCTGCTTCAGCTTTTCCCGCTGCCGTGCTTCAGGCAGAGGCTTCCCTCCTGCACCGGTGCTCTCGAGCCGGCCGCGTTTGAGGGTATCCCCTAACTTTGGCACCGTGAGCGCAGCTCTTCCTCGAGGGCAGATGAACAGCGGTGGTTTGGTTCCTTGTGACGACAGCTTCTTCCCCGAAGGTTTTTTTATTATTATTATTAATTTATTTATTTTCACCACTAAATTGATTTCTTAAGTGCACATGGCTCAGAAAGTGATTTTCCTCTACAAAACTGCAGACAAGCTTGCTGAAAACAAAATCAAACAAATAACTCTGAGTCTCCCCGATGAAATCCTGCAGCACGTCCAGTTCTTTAACAACCCTATGGCACATTTCTGGCTTTGTAGTGATGCTTCTTCATGAATGTTTGAGAGAAGATTTACTTGGATGTCAGGGAGAAATTCTTTACAGAGAGAGTGATGAGGTGCTGGAACAGGCTGCCCGGAGAGGTTGTGGATGCCCCGTCCCTGGAGGTGTTCAAGGCCAGATTGGATGGGGCCCTGGGCAGCCTGGTCTAGCATTAAATGGGGAGGTTGGTGGCCCTGCCTGTGGTGAGGGGGTTGGAGATTCATAATCCTTGAGGTTCCTTCCAACCTGGGCCATTCTGTGATTCAGCGATTCTGTGAGCGTTTGCCAGGACAATCATGCACATTGTACTCTTGTCCATCGCCGCGCCTTGTGTCAGAGCAGGATCACAGCTTGCACCATCTCTCATTACCCCGGGCACACGGATGGTTTGGCAGCACAGCCCGTGTTTCGCAAGCGTGCTGGGCTTGGGGATCCTGCCAGCCACTCACGTTGTGCCGGCTGCCCTGTCCTGACGCGTTTTGTCAGGCTGCCTACAGAGCATGCGCCTTGCAGTGACTTTCACCAGGCTCCTGCTCGATAACTGATGTGCTCCAGTGACAGCCTTTGCACGGTGGAAGCTGCCGTGGATTCATTTTCAACTTTGGGGGGTTTTAAGATTCTGCTAATGGCATTCACTGACTGATGGCAAATGTGTTCCTACTGATTTAAAAGCTGAAATCTGATGCGTTAATCTACATTAGGAAACATCTGAGATGACTGTGCCCCGACTGTAGGAAGAGCAGAGCCCCTAGTTTTCTTCGTGGATTTGTATTCCATCTATCTATCTTGCCTCTTTCCATTTAGGAACCTCAGACTCCTGAACTTGTTTTTAGCACCAGCTACCATGACACTGAGTAACCTCTTCATAGGTTAAACAGTACCCCGAAAGCATTTTCAATTTCCATTATATCTCACAGGTTCTTCAAAGAATCATAGAATCACAGAATGGCCTGGGTTGAAAAGAACACAATGATCACCTAGTTTCAATCCCCTGCTATGTGCAGGATCACCAACCAGCAGACCAGGCTGCCCAGAGCCACATCCAGCCTGGCCTTGAATGCCTCAAGAGATGGGGCATCCACAGCCTCCTTGGGCAACCTGTTCCAGTGTGTCACCACCCTCTGTGTAGAAAAACTTCCTCCTAATATCTAACCTAAACCTCCCCTGTCTCAGTTTAAAACCACTTCCCCTTGTCCTGTCACTATCCACCCACGTAAACAGCCGTTCCCCCTCCTGTTTATATGCTCCCTTCAAGAATTGGAAGGCCACAATGAGGTCTCCCTGGAGCCTTCTCTTCTCCAATCTTCTCCACCTTCTTGATTAATCGGTACCTTACTTGTTTGCTATTTTTTGAAGCCACTTATCATTAATTGCTACTGCAGTGCCATTACATTCTATTTTTCTCTTTCTTGGGTAACGTGTCCCCTAAAATGCCTGTTTCCCAGTCACAGTTCCCATTCCACCCTGCTTCTTTTATGCCTCCAGTACCCGGTCTGACAGCATGCACCAGTCGGTCAGGTTCCTGTGTTTTGTTGCCCAGGCTCTTGGCATTTGTGTGCTGCCATTCCAGTTGCTTCTCCCTGGCTGTATGTTATCCCTGGGCCTGGTTAAGCGTGTTTGCGAGAAGTGTCATCTTCCAGATGACATCAGTGTTAGCACCTACAGGCAGGTACTAGGATGGTCTGGGGCACAACAACCTCTCACAGTTGTTGCTCTCCCAGCACTGTGTTCTCCCTGTACTTCTGTACTTACTGTACTTCTCTCATATACCTTCTCCTCCTGCAATGTTTTACTTTTAGCCCCTTTGCTAATCTCGGTATAATCTCAGGTTTTCTGTCCTTTCTTTATTAGTTCTGGCCCCTCACTCCCATATCACTTTGTACCACATTCTGTTTCAGGGGATTTCGGAAACTATCCATATCTTCCTGCATGCCAAGAAGCTGGTCTTAACACTGCCTTCCTGACCACTGAGACAGACATGTGTGACTACTTCATAGAATCACAGGGTTGGAAGGGATCTCTAGAGATCATCTAGTCTGGCCTCCCTGCTAAAAGCAAGTTCCCTACAGTAGCTTGAACAGGAGAGCACCCAGGCAGGTCTTGAATATCTCCAGAGAAAGAAACTCCACAACCTCTCTGGGCAGTTTGTTGCAGTGCTCTGTCACCCTCACAGTAAATAAGCTCTTTTGCATGTTTGTTTGGAACTTGCTGTTACAGTTTTTGCTCATTTCCCCTTGTCCTATTGCTGCACAACACTGACAGGAGCCTGGCCCCATCCACTTGACTCTTGCACTTTAGATATTTATAAACACTGGTAAGATCCTCTCTCAGTCTTCTCTTCTCCAGGCTGAACAGCCTCAGCTCTCTCAGCCTTTCCTCACATAGAAGGTGTTCCAACCCCTTAATCACCTTTGTGGCCCTCTGCTGGACTCCCTCTATATGATTTCTGTCTTTTTTGAAGAGGAGCCCAGAACTGGACAGTACACCAGATGTGGCCTCACCAAAGCAGAGGAGAAGGATAGCCTACTGCAACCTGCTGGCCACTCTCTTTTTAGTGCTCCCCAAGACACCTTCTTGGCCACAGGGGCACCTGATAGCTCACAGCCAGCCTGTTGTACACCAGGACACCACAGTTCTTCTCTGCAGAGTTTCCTTTCAGCAGGTCAGTGCACTCATACTGATGAGTGCATCTGTACTTCTGTCCCTGAAGCTTCTTCTCTCTCACCATGAGCTCCCTTCCTCCAAGTTTATTTTATACCAGCCTGTGACTGCACATCTCATTTCTCCACGTTTCTCACAAGCCTGTGAGTTCTGCATCCCATCTTGCTCTATAGCTCCACAGCAAAATCTTCTGTTCATCCCAATACCACCTGCAGCTCTGTTCTTCTTCCCTGTGCAGACCTTTGGTCCAAGACAGATCTTCAATCACAGCTTTCTGCATCACCCTACTGTTTTCTTTCAAAACATCACCTTTCTAAAACCGTAAGGGGAGAATCAGCAGAACTGTATCGTTTTGCTGAAATATGTTAATGGTTACCACCAAGTGTTTTTCTGATCTAATTGCTGCTGGGAATCAAACTGTTTTCCTCAATTTCACTGGTCAATAATTGTATCTGATCATCATCAATGACATTGTATTCATCACCATCTGAACCTAATGTTGCAAAACAAAGAATTAAAGTCACATTCTCACACCCAGAGGCACAGCTATTTCCAGCTATAGGGAGTCTCTGTAAATAAAAATGAAGGTCTGGAATTGCTCTACCACTTGCTGCAACTACTAGCATTAGCTGACCTGCTTGTGACACTGTTCTAAGAGAAGCCCTTGACTGTGTACAGACCACAGTGCTTCGCTTGGAGTACATCTAAAAAGAGATGCTCTTGCATAAAAGTAAAAAAAAGAGCTTACTGGTGTAACCAAAATAAGTCATGGCAAGTGCCACTACCATCTGTAAGGCAGTGTGTTACTTCAGCAAAATAAATTCAAGTATTTGTTTTTCAATATAAATATGTTACATTTCACTCTGGGAGTTGCTTATCCATCAGGACAAGAGATGGTTCCAGCCCAGGGCAAGATTGAAAGCTGACTAATCATTTGCCAGTATTGCCAATGAGACCCTTTGATTCTCAAATTCCACAATGTTTCTGTGAAGGGATTTCCAGTATTTTAAGCACATCTGTGGAAATGGTATGGGGAGGCAGTGTTGTGATGTCAGTGGTCAGGCACTGGAATGGGCTGCTCAGGGAGGTGGTGGAGTCACTGATCCTGGAGGTGTTCAAGGAATTGTTCGGTTGTTGTGTGAGGGACATGGTCTAGTGAGTGAGATTGGTGATGGGTGGATTTGGACTGGAT